ATTACAGTTGTGACAATCGTGATTCAAGGTTGGTTAAATTGTTTCATTCTAATAAATTAATAAATAAACTAATTTAATACATTAATTAATTTATTTATTATAAATATTTTATTTTTTAAATATAAATAAATATAATATATATGTATATATAATATATAAACAAATATAAATATAATTTTAATAATTTTAAATTAGTTTATTATAATTAAATTAATTTAATACATTAATTATTTTCTTTATTACTAAAAAATATTTTTAATTTAATTAAATATATTTCCTTTTTATATATGAATTTTTATGATATTTTGCCAAATTATTTATAATAATATTATTATTCATGATTAACATTCCAATTGTCGTTATCAATTATCATAATTCTATCTACTTATCTTGTTTGCTTATTTAGATGATGTATATGTGTGTTTTTGTGTGTGTGTGTATTTGTTTGTTTGTGTGTGTGCGTGTATGTGTGTGTGTATGTGTGTGTGTGTTTGTTTGTTGAAGTATTAAATGGTAGTTTCATGTTGTTTGATTGCTACTAAGGAGAGTCTTAGGAAAACGTACAAATTCTTTCAAATATATTTGCTGCTACTGCAACTACTACTGCTGTTACTGCTACTACTACTGCTGCTACAAACGCTACTACTACTGCTGTTGCTACTACTACCACTACTGCTGCTACTTCTGTAGCTACTACTACCACTACTTAGTAGTAGTACTACTACTACTTAGTAGTAGTAGCTACTACTACAATTGTTATTGAAACTCTCTTTACTATAATTTTATTTGACATGCGCAAATACTAAAAGCGATTTTTCGAAAAGAAGAAATGAATGAGAGATGGTATGCAAGACAACGGAGGAGTATCATGTTCCAGAATGTTCATTCCTGAAGATGCGTGTTTTGTGTGTATGTGTGGATGTATGTGTGGATGTATGTCTGTATGTGTGGATGTGTGGATGTATGTGTGGATGTATATTTGTTTGTATGTGTGGCTGTATGAATGCATGTATGTATGTGTTGGCGTATATTTGTATGATGATGATAAAGATGATGAAGATGATGAGGACGACGATGGTGATGATAATTATGATGGAAATAAAGAGATGGCGGTTGAAGGATATTCTTTTCACTTGCTCCGACGTTTCGAACATCATTAAGGCTTCTAAGGTACAAATTAACATGAGGCACGTATTGACGTGATGGCGATGATGAAAATGATGATGATGATGATGATGATGATGACGGTGATGATGATGATGATGACGGTGATGATGATGATGACGACGATGGTGGTGATGATTCTAACAAGTGCATAAATAGTAAACAGTATAAAGCAGGGCTCAATGCTGAAAGATTTTATCGAGCGATAGGTACATTATTAAAAGTGCTCCCCATCCATCTGTCCATCTATCATTCATTCATTCATTCATTCATTCATTCATTCATTCATTCATTCATTCATTCATTCATTTTTTATTTATTTATTGTCTCCCCAGCCATTCATTACTTCGATTGATGAATCAAATACAACTGTATGAGAAACTTCTCATAGTTTGATGTTTGTTCGTTTTTGAAATGTTCATACAATTCATCAACTTCATTTTCGTCGTCATCATCATCTTATTTTGGGTTAATTTATTTTATTGATTTATATTGTCTTTGGTAACGTAAAGGAAACGGAAATGGAACAGGTGTGTTTGAAGGAGACAGTATCTTTCTCACGGCATACATGGGCAATATTGGATTATGTTTGATTGGATTATTACCATCATCATCACCACATCATCAT